CAGACAGACAGACAAATAGACGGAAACGAGAGGCTACTTTTTTCGTACGGTAGGGGGCATGAAACTCAATTACTATGCTTCATTTGCTTATGCTCGGGAAGTAAAAATTTATGATACATTGTCAATTTACTGGGTGTCTCTTGTTTAATTTTATAATTAGAAGAATTTCCATAACAAAGTAACACACTTTGTAGTACACTCCATTCACCATATCACAGTTTTTTGCCGCCAAATTTTTGAAAAATTAATGGGTAGATTTTTTTAACTTTATAGTTGTCTGATTATTATTATCAGTGGCAGATATTTCTAGAATAGACCAAGTTGAAAATTGTTTTAATACGCAGAAATACGTTACACCTAAGTGTCATAACAAGCTTAGGAACAAACTCGAAAGTATAAAATTCCTTAAGTGCACTAAGGAAGGTAAACTTCGAATTTGATGAAGTCGTTTGCGCATTTCAAAGCAGTTTTAGGGCCGGTTGCATAAACGCAAATCAAATTTAATCTCTGATTAACTCCATAGTAACGATTGTTATTATCATAGTTACAATTGTTCTTAATCAGAGATTAAATTTGATTTGCGTTTATGCAACCGGCCCTATAACTTTTTGATAACAATTTTCAATGTTATGACGTAATCAACACTTTATAAATTACAACTTAATAAAAATTTTGCTACATTGTTGCTTGTTTTTGGTGATTTCAATCCTCCAACAGTCAAGTGGCCAGATGGTGGCTGGACTTTCGGCAAAACTGTTATTGTAATTATTGGACAATAGCCATTTTGTTTAAATTATTCGAAATCCCACAAGTACAAACAAAAGAAGAGGGATCAGTATTAGATTTAATAATACTGTTCAATGAAAACAAACTTAAAACATGGTCCTCCGGTAGGAACATGTGGCTGTCGGAGTAAGATGAATAAGACTGTTATTTTATTATCAATTAGAAGAGAATTTTGAAAGACAAACTGGAATGTATTGAACAGTGACTATAAAATTTAAAAATCACTTTTACTCTTTGGTGCCTAAGATTTCGGTGTATAAATCATTCATTTACTCTACAACAAAACCTTAGATTAACAAGTCTCGAAACGATCAAGAAAAAAATATCTCTTTGAAAAAATGTTTAAAAGAAGTGGGGAAACACAAACTGTGTAACTCACAGGGCCTATGCTCACAACTTTTCTGAGAAAAGTTAATCTTGTAAGAATGAAAGATACCTTTTGGACACTAAAGACCTAATCTACAAATTCAGTTAAAGTAATGTTACCAAATAAACCCATACGTCGCCCCGGTACGATGCCTATGGGTTCACGAGCTTTTTAATACGCACGGCGTTGATGGGTGAGTCATCATCGGTGACGGCGGCGTTCCATAAAGACAAGTCTGGAGCAGTTACCGGAAAGTCTCGAAGCGGTGTTGGAAAAGCCTGGAAGAGGAAGTCACGATGGTGCTATTACGTCAACCTTGTCCTCGTTCGAACCCAGAACCATTAAAAAAAATAGACACCATCATTTACTTATTCTAGAAGGCTAAAATCTATAAAACTTCTAATTTGAGACCAAGAACTGATAGAATCCGTCCAGAGACATATACCTTGTGTATTCTTTGAAAGAAATAGGCCTTCGTACATTCAGTGCTTCAACATAATGTGGCTTAGGTTGTCAGCTGATCTCTGAGGAGAAGTTATCACAAAATCCAAAGCGTTCCGCCAGGATAGTTCAACTCGCGAAAGATTATTTAATGTGAATCAAAATTCTTTTACGAGAGATTCCAGCCTAAAACTTCAGAAGAAAATATTCCAGCCGATATTTCCTTCCGAATAGGGTGTTCGATGTTTGGATCTTCCTGCCTCAGTCCGTAGTCGATAGTCCTACAGTTTTTCAGCTTAAAATGGTCTATGACACATGGATCACATCAATAACTTATACCCTAAATATTACTGTAATGCGGACTGTCCTTGCATTTCCTTGAAATTGTTCTCTATGGTCTAGGCCAGACAATTTAGGCTACTCGGAAAGAAGTATTTAGAGAATGGCCGTTCAAAAAAGTTATTTTCAATTAAGGTATGGTACATACACCCGTCTTTATTTAATAATGTTAAAATAAGAATTACAATAATAATATTCAGAACATTTTGCTCGATTGTGGCTGAATTAACAATTTTAGTTCTCTGTTTGAGAAAATAAATTCATTCAAATCAAAACGTTGCTACGTGTTAGTCGTGACATTCTTTCGATGTAAACATAAACACTCGAAGTTAACATGTACACACATGTAACATGACTGGTGATAATAATACTTTTATTTGTTGGTTATCTCCTGTATTTTATATTGTCCGTACGTGTGCAGACTTGTAATTTGCGCCCCCGCGGCGCAGGAGCTCCGGAATGTCATGTACCGCACTGTTCTTACTCTGTAGAGGCTGTCACAAAAAAATAGCAAAATCAAATTTTATAATTTTTCGAAGAAGCGGGATTTGGGTGACTGTACTTCAAAGGCGAGGGATATAACCTCCGATCAATTTTTTGAAGATGCTTTTTTTTACATTTTGTAAACACCTTTAGTAACACTCCTTTACGTGGAAAGTGCTGTTGAAGAGTGTGGTAATTTAGACCTATGCATCTATTAGCATGTTTTTGCAAACTGGTTGAATATTTTATTATTGATCGCTTCAGGAGATATTTTCAAGGGTGCAGTTTATTCTCTTATAATGAACATGTTTATCTGAAAATCAAATTCATAGATGCCGATCTGTTTGAGTTTGTAAATAAAATGCAAGAAGTTTTAGATCAGGATGATGCGAGCCTTTATTGACTTTTCCGGGGTTTTTGACTGCATATGTCGCAAAACTTACTAAAGCAAAACAAAATTCTTAAGACGGTTGAATTCATACTTGAAGAATCGTACGTAAGTTTGTAAAGCTGAGGTGTGTTAAGCTTTTGCAATTGACAGTGCTCACAATTGATACTCCAAACGTATTTGTAGATAAAATATATGATTGAATTCGGTGCAAAATGAATGAGCCCGTCATTGATTAAACAAAAACGGGCATGTCGTGTTGGTTACTCTAATATACAGAGTGAGTCAGCGTGCACGTGCTTCTCGAATTTATAAATTGTTCCAATCTTCTAAAGGTTCACAAATTTTATTAGATTTTTTTAAGACTATTTGATAGAGAGTTAACAAAAGTACACGTTTTGATGTGATGTAAAAAAGCAAGTTTTACTATACAGGGTGACTGCGAAATAAGTGCAAATATTTTAACCACGGCATCCCCCACCCTAGTAGAGCCGAAATATAGAAAAAACAAATTAAAAATCGAATGGGGCAAAACCCCCATGAACCACCCTCGATACGAAGGCACTGAGCCACCTTGTAAACAGAGTTGGAAAAACGTTCGAATAAAAACGACCTAAACACTTTCAGTTTCAATTAAAAGTAAAACCGACTTTTTGCTGCTTATCATTCGTTCATTCATTTACTCATTCATCGTTAAAGGTCAATGTGAAAGTTTTTTGGTAATTTTGATTCTGATGGATGTTTGGTCCTTGTCACAACGATTTTAGATTGTTTATTGGAACAGAAATAAGAGCAACTTAGAATGCTACTACCTTTTTACAAGAAATGTTGAAAATGTTGTCCTTGACTAGCAATACAGGCGTCAGAGCGTCGCAAGAGGTTTGTTGATAGGTAAAAGCCACTTTATTCGTTGAAGCTCTTCGAAAATTTCTGGACACTGTTGATTTCCACAAACGAACTGTTTCATCCAACCGATACACATTTATCGAAAACCGTCTCTTGCAATCGTACTTGTTGACGAGCATGTGGAGTTTGATCGGACAAAAAGTGAGTTACACAACGTGGACAATCAGCGGGCTCTAAACCCTTTACTTTGTCAACATGGTATGGATGTGGCCGTATTCTTTTAATGTAGGATGCACTACAAGCTGTGAAAATCCAACTTCTTCTTTCTGTCCTATCACGGCCACGATCGTGAGTTTGAAGTTGAAGGTACCATGATCTCGGAGTTGCTGTACCACTGATGCAAATGTTCACCCACACCAATTACCATATCGACACAATCTGCATGGGAAAACTTCACCATAAACCGATTTCACCGACCGCTCGATGCTAACTGGCCCTTTGCGTGTTTTTCACGTTGCGATTAAAAAAGTTCCTGATAAAGTTACTTTTTTGGTTCTTAATCCGACTCGCTCTGTTCCATTCATTGTAGTAATTATGTAGGTCACAAAACAGTCCAGCGGCGCGTACAACAATTTACATTTAATTTCAAATAATTTTTTCTAGACACTGCTACCTACTACTTAGGACCGTGAATTTTACCCAGTGACATAATCATATTGTGAGCTATTCCCCATTTTTTTTTTGCATGTATTTCGCAATCACCTTGTATAGAGTGTATAGATAAAAACTAAAATAATTTTAAATTGATAGTTTGTGTAATTTTTCACATTTTTAAATGATGTACGAGTACCAACATATCAAAACATTTTTTGAATTCAGACCAATTAGATTAGCAAATTATCGTCTAATGACATAATAATTCTAGATATTTATTGAAAATTGTACACACCTGTTAATTACCTAATTTGCACAAATAACTACTAAAAGTTAAACTTCTATTATTTTCTTATTCTTTAGTTTCATTTGTTAAAATTATTGAAACATTATTATTAATGTCATTTTAAAACCGATAAAATGCGGTTATCTATTTATTTATGTCAGAGCGATTTTATTTTTCTGTTCAAATATCTCGGGCACTGTTTCGTTTTGTTGCCCCCAGGAAATAACTGCTCGTGTTTTCGACTCGAGATTTCCGGAAATTAGATCACCACTCATTACATTTTGAACGAATACCTATATGTAAAGAGTGGCTATTAATTTCAATAAATAAAACACAGTTATAGAGACGTATGATATATTTATTTTTTTACCAAATATGTAGTCGTTAAAAAATTAAACTACACATTTATTTTATAGTTCTTCCAGATAATGGGCATATTGTTTCTGAAATTCTCCACGAGGATCATACTCCTTGAGGAGTTCATCCCAATCGCTTTTGCGTTCTTTAATGAGGAATCTGATAACCTTTTCTGTCGACTTCTTCTGATGTTCGTTACATTTTTTGCATCCAGTAAGAAGAGCATCTGGGACGATGTCTCTCAATAGAGCACCTTCTTCGGTACAGCTGCCCTTCTTCAGTAAACATTGGAGGTAATTATCAAAAAGACGTCGATTTGCAAGAATGGCATCGATGTCGAGGTCATCATACTTGGTCGGGTAGACATCATAAACTGCTGCAGCTGCTGCTGCCACTAAAGCTACTGCTACAATTAACAACTTCATGGTGTTCTCGCTGATGAACTTTGACTACTGTGTGTTATGATCTCTATTTATATTACTCTGTTTGCCATTAAGAAACAATTAGGAAGTTTTCACAAATTGAGGTGATAATTTCACCTGCTGATAAATCCAGTTTAATGCTTACAAAGTCGTTGATGGAAACTACCAGTGTTACATTTTGTAAAAAAAAATTGTTTTAAGATATGAGAATTTAATGGAACATTAGGTAATCGTTTTATTTATGTGATAATAATTATTGTATAGCACCTGGTGATAACTTTGAATGCAAAATACAAAAGACGCGCAAAGTATCAAATGTAACGTTGTAAATTATGCTAAAAACAGTTTAATAGGTTGCAGTTTATTTCTATTTACTCAGTAATAGCCAGAGGAATGAAATAATATTTGAAGTATTTTATTTCAGGAAAATGTAGACTTCCTAGTTCCCGCTGTGTGCCTGTCATTTACGTATTATTGGCAGAATTTTAAATGCGGTAAACTTTAAAATTATTATTGCGATAACTTAAAATGAAGAGATCTGGCTTACTGCTTTAGAACCAATATTCCCCAAATTCCAGACAGTCAATAACGTATATGCTACATTGTACCTACCAAAATTAATATAATTGCCCCCTTGATAAGAACTTTGAATTAATTAATAATGTATATATAAAGTTTTCATTTTTTAAATAATTGATTTGATTCACTCCAGTTTTCAAACGTATTCGTTAATTGTCATAGTCTTCGCCCAACAATTTTTAGGTCGTCTGCGTATTATTATAACAGAACTAAATTCATTAATCACATCGTTGATCTAAACGATGAAAAGTAGAGAACCTAAACTGGAGCCCTTCAGCATAATTTTTTACATCTCTGGATAAAACATATGTAATAAATGTCTTGTTTTGCATAATCTTACAAATGAAGATGTAGAAAAAAAAACAGAAACAAAATAAACGTTACTGGAAAAACAATTATGTATCCAATTTAAAGAATTCAGTTAGAAAATGCAACGCAAAATGAAGTTAAATTAAATAAATCTTATCTGAAAATTTTGTGATAATAAAAAAGATATTTAATAAAGATTTTTATTTTTTTATGTAAAAGGAACAAAAATGTACAAAATAATAAAATTCTCTTTTCGGTTTCAAACGTTGATGAGAAAACTGGAAAAAACTTTGACAGTTATTTAGTTAAAGAAAGTATAGCAGTACAGTCATTTTAACGAATGTCAGATCTCATGTTTTTGAGAATTTTAATACTTGTAGAATAAAATAGTGAATTTTCGTTTACGTCTGGCTATTTTTCTTAGGTCATCTACTGACAATTTCATTGGCAAATAATTTTCAAAATATCGAATTTATTTAGTATTTAGTATTTCAGTATTTAGTACTTTGTTGCGGGACATACGCAAATAACTATATACAACAAATAAAACACAATAAAACAAAATTTATTGTACAATAACTAAACTAACTTATCCTAATTTATCACTAATTTAAATAAAATCTCAGAAATTAACATGTGGCAATCTTTCAAAATGTTACGTTGGTACCCCAAATATCACTATTTGGATCTCATAGAAGTGCAAGTCTTGAAATTGGAGAGAAAAATTCGTAGTTAGTATTACGAACTTTTCAACAAAATGTGGAATTACTTCTTAAAGGTCTAATAACACAACATATACTACAGGACAGTCAATCGCACCGTTAAATAACTTAAAAAATTCAAATCCATTTTAATTCATCTAATTTTCAAAGAATCTATTAAAATTATACACCTGATGTCTTCGTAAGTGAAAACCCATTCTCCATGACAAAAGGATTAATTTTGTACTTTCTCAATTAATTTGATGTAAATTGTATAGTAAAGCGACCATACTGAACAAGTGTACTCGAAGGAAGATCAGACCTTTAATCGACACTATCAGCTTTATAGTTAAAATGTATCCATGCCAGTGATCTAGAAAAGATTATAACAAAATTTGACAAAATGTACATCCATGTCACTGATGCTGCACCAAGACAAAATATTATCCAGATCCATTTGTAGCTGAATACTGTCCTGGATGTCCGAGACTGCTTTATATACATATTTTAACATCATTTGCAAGAAGAAGGGACTCTGAAGACTCTGCTACTTTACAAATACCTTTAATAGAAAAGTAAAAAGAATCGGACTGCAGTGGGAACCTTGTGGTACACCTGATGTAACCAAAATTGGAACGAGTTGTGTTCAGTTTGAAATAAAGGTGTTGATTAGGAAAAAACATCAAATTTCATAGCTATTAATTTGTGCGACAAGATTTTCTGCTTGACTATGTCAAAAGATTTCCAGAAATCAGCTTACACAGGATCAATTTGAATTCTATTCTCCAAAGAGTTTATAATAAAGTTCTGCTATAACAATAAATTAGTTGTAGTCGATCTTCCTTGACAGAAATCATGCTGAGAGGCCCCTATTAACTGTTTACAAGCTGGTTTAAGTTGATCACAAATCAATTTATCGAAAATTTTTGATACTTATGTTTATTGTATACACTCTCGTCTATTATGGACATCATTTAAAATACTATTTTTCCAAATTTCAAGGATAAATTAAATAACATATGTGGTAGTCTTGTTATACTGAACAAAGTATTAATAAAAAATTTTGCAGATCTAAAATGGCTCTGAATACATCAGCAACCGAAATACAGTCGCGGCCAGAAAATCTTGGATGTCACTTTCCTGTCATTTTGAAAATTTTGATGTAGTCCATGCTTTCTTTATTGTCACTTTGATATTTGAAATTTAAAAGATTTGTCACGTTGCATCCAATGTTAGCATGCCTGCAGCATCAAAAATGAGAAAACTAAAACATAAGGTTACAATACTTAAAGCTGTTTCACATTTTGTGACAGAGGAATGACACTGACGTCCCAAATTTTCTGTCTGCGCCTGTAAATCTAAAATTAAAATTCGATTCAGCAGAAACCCTCACTTCAGCGAAATCTGTAGTTTACTTATCCACTTTATAAATAGATCTGAAATAATCTGCAAAGAAAATAGTTATATTTTCTAAGTTCAAAGATTTTTTTCCATTAAAAAGCATTTCATTTGAAACGTAATTCATATTAACTTGATTTCAAGGTTACCATGTCAGAGATAAAACAGTAATTAAAATTTGTTTATTTATTTTCTTCAAACGATTATTGATGATGATGACGTTGTCTGAAAATATTATTAAATAAATTTCGCTTTAAATGTACCAGAGATAATTTTCTCTGATATATATTTTAAATTTTAATGCACGGTATTCACTTACTTTTCACATTAAATGATAAAAAACTAAATATTCTGCACTTCATCGATAAAAATTCACTCTTTAGGAAGTTGTGTAATCCGCTAGAAATACAATAAAATTGTTTCCAGCATAAAGTGTAGTGGTAGTCCTTAATAAATTTTAATGGCATGATCGTTAACGGTATTTTTAATTATTCGCTATTGATTTCTTATAAAATACACAGTGCCTTTTTTTAACGTTGGCCATAGAGATTTATTTTGGGTCGTGTTACTGAGCTTTTTAGCAGGGATTTTCAAACGAAATTTGGTAGAATATTAGATTTAGTATATTATAAATCAGTTTCACATAACCAAAGTGTTGTCTAATGTTCTTTAATTATTGTTCTCTATAACCAAGGCATAATTAGGATTAATAAAAACACTTCAGCCTTGTTTATACAGCATAATTTCCGTAAAGAGAACAAAACTATTACAAATTAAATTTTTTATCCACCAAGTTGGTATATACGTTTTTCTTTCATTTTTAGTAATTTACCTAGATAATCGAATTGCTTATAAGAGTTATTACTACTAATTACACAGAAAGCGAACCAGATGTCAAACTTGGTGACCGTCAGAATTTGATTGAAGGTTAAATGTTTTTGTTATTGTTTTACTATCTTAATGTCCAGAGAGTGGATGCTTGCGGGTAATCGCCAGTACAGTGATGAACCTGTACGTCACATCGGAACGATTCTTCTTCAAGTGCCTAACCGTACGGTACAAAAAGGTGTTATGTTTTCTTCAAATTCACGCATATCCAGTGACATTCTTTCTACACATTAGACATGAAATGCAAAGATTACATTACAAACTCAGTTGTATGGAGAAAAATACTGAGGGAACAACACTTATTAACGTATGTAGTGTTAATTTAGTCAATTAGTTAAGCCGCAACTTAACCCCCACTAAATGCGAACCTAAGAGCTACTTAAAAGTTGCCCGCACAGGTGCTGTTTCTGGTAATCTAGTGTTCGATCACATGATAGCTTTTTTAGAAATGTAATTAATTATTATTTGTACTGTTTTGAGTGGGTAAAGTCAAAAACAAAATTTATTGACAAAGTACTGCCTATTCGACAATATTGTTTAAGTTGGAAATAGAATTAGGTAATTTGGAAAATTTTGCGTGTGCTCCTGTCGCCAGATCTGATCCAAATGCTTGATGTTACGACATTTTAATAGATAATCAGTAATAAAAAAATTTGAAAAAAAAATTAAATGTTTTTGTCAACTATGTGAATCTTGACAACAGCAAGTTAAGTGGGGTGATAGTTTTACCAGTTTCAAGCATACTGAACATACCAACTGAAACAGCACTTGTTGATCAATGGTCACGCACCAATAGCCTATACTTTATTTATCAAAATTTTGAAGCCGTTTACCAAAATAGAGTAACAGAATTGGCAGATGCAAAAAAATAACTTCATGTCGTGTACAAAATTGACTCAAAAGCAATAGCAAAGAAGCTGTGGTCATCTAAATAAATGTGTGATATCTTGCAGGTAGTTTCGTAATTTGCTATGTTTTGTGTATACATGACTAGCTTCATAAGCAGTCAATAAAAAAGGAAAAGTTGCAGTGACTCTTCGGAGACAGGATCGTTAAGATAACACAGCAAAACTTCATAGAACTAAACCAATTACCTAGGAACCTAGGACCAAGTTTGTAGTCCGGATA